GGGAATATACTAATTGAGGGTCAAACGGGGGGGAACACTAGGAACGAGGGTTTGATTTGATCATGAAAGCAGGTCTGAGCTGCCTGCCCAGGGAAAAAAAAGGCACCAAAGGGCAGGTGTACAGAACAGGTTAGGAAGTACAACAGTAAGTAAATTTATTTAGTTCATTATTAATGAGTAATTTATCCCCCCCCCCCCCCCAAAAAAATCATACCCCTTTGTGTCCCGATAGGATCAACACCCCGAGGAAACAGGGAGGTCTGGGCTCCATGAACATCCCTCTGCTGGCCGACCTGACCCAGTCCGTCTCCCGCGATTACGGCGTGCTGAAGGAGGACGAGGGCATCGCCTATAGGTGACTGCTGCACTCGTGCTGGATTACTGTTTACTGTCCGTAAAAATACAAACTGAGCGAGGAGACGTAGACGTACACGACCACCTTGAATGTAATGTAGTGTGTCGTAACGTGATCCAGGCTGTTTGATTACGTTCAAGGCGACACGTGCACATGTTTCTCTCAAATTTTTCGAACCACACGATAACATTTTATGACGTTTTGTATTTATTGTATTATCAAGACTACTCGTATAATTCCCCTGTTATGAGCAGTTCGTTTTGCGTTCTCGCAGAGGGCTGTTCGTGATCGACGATAAGGGCATCCTGAGACAGATCACCATCAACGACCTGCCCGTGGGCCGCTCGGTGGACGAGACCCTCCGCCTGGTTCAGGCTTTCCAGCACACCGACAAGTACGGAGAAGGTGAGTCCAGCCTGAAGTTCTCCACAACCCTGCGCAGTCACATGACCCACAGAAAGAGTGCACGAATCCGGCCGTGCCGTAATGCTAGGACCTGTTTTGTGGGTGTCGTTTCTCCACTGCTGATTGGCTGAGGCTGTAATGTCCGGAATATCTGAAGAGCTCGATGTAGCGTTCACTAAAACCTGAAGCTGAATCCGATTCTTTTTATCGAAACGTCAAGTATTAAAGACGACTTTAAAGTATTTAATAACCGAAAATATTAAAGTAAATCCACTGCCAAACACGAGGAGTTTTGTGATTGGCTGCAGTGTCCTTTTGTGCAGGAACTTCGAGCCAATCGGTTACAATTGCTCTGAGGGGGGGAACTTGCGCCTTACAGAGACGGTCACTTAAAGTCCCTGCGAAGTGCCTTGAGACACGCGGCGTTATTCAACATGTTGACGATTTCCACTGAAACAGGAAGTCCGGGCGGGATATATCGAGTGGCTCCTCCTTTTGAAATGGCCAATAGCGTTTTTCTTTCTTCCCAACCCGGGCTAAGTCGTACTGGACGGTTAGTTCCGTGGGAAAATGGTTAAAAAAAAAAAAAAAAAAACCTTCAGCAAGGTGATTTTTATAATGTTGGAGGCGGAACAGTTTTTTGATTGGAGCATTTGATTAGACAGAAAATCTGACGTGCAGAATGTCATCAAAATTGTTGATCCGCGTCGTTGGTAGAGAGAGGTAGAGTTCCCAATTTTGTCGTTGTTTTGGAGCTCACACACTTATAGGTAACCTTAAGGTGAACATATTCATACTAAAAGCCACGACACTTCCATTTTGATTTCCTGGGGACTTCAAGGGCTGGGCCCTTTTTTTCCCCCCACTTTGTAAACGATGCGTTGTTGCCTCATGTTTTAAAGTTCCCATTCGAGCAGAAATGAGCAAGCTTGCCAGACTCGAGTAACGACTTTTACCACAATATAGAGCGAAGAACAACACGGCTAACTGTGCAGCGAAAACAATAACAGGAAATCCTCAGCAAATGATGCCAATGAAGACCTTAGCGGGAGGCCTGGAGTGACCTTGTTGCTTAGAAACTACTGCAGTTATTCGGAAATGGGTTTTAATCAGGTGAGGAGCACGAGTGCCGAATAAGATCGGAACACCACCACAGATCCTTAAAGCTCACCTCGGTGATCATCCAGCTGAATTGACCTCGAATATAAAAGCAGGTCTGTTAAGTAACACTTTTGAATGCAGGTTAAATTTTTAATCTTTTTTTTTTTCTCCTCCGACCCCCACCCTTCAGTGTGCCCTGCTGGATGGAAGCCCGGAAGTGACACCATCGTCCCTGACGTTCAGAAGAGCAAACACTTTTTCTCCAAGCAGTAACATGAGCCTCGCATCTGCCCCGGAGACTCCGTCCCAGCGGGGTACTGAAGCACTGAATTCCGAGCTCCGATGAGACCACGGTGTCCTGTTGGGTTTTTTTTTGGCGGGGTTTTTTTCTGCTGTTTATGAGCCTTACAGAATGAATACCAACATTAACACTTATGTTTTTGTCTGCTGTTACTTTAATCGAATTGAAGTCTGTTGTAACGTACTGAAATTCCTACAGTGTTTGGGTTTTTTTTTTTTTTTTTCCTGTTCTGAAACAATCGTAAAATATTTTGTACTAGTCAACCATCAAGGTCTGCTGTGTTAACCGTCCTGACGTTGCCCAATAAAGATGGTGGTTTAAAATCACTTTTTTTTTTTTTCTTTTTCATTTACTTTTACTTATTTATTTGGACGACACCTTGGCTCAGTGGTCATCAAGCCTGTTCCTGGAGAGCTACCTTCCTGAAGACTTCACCATAGTCATGCCCACCTGACTCTCTAATCGTTGCCTTAAGACGCTCTTCTATTTCAAACCGAGAGTCCTGTGAGTTGTGGATCGTCTTATGATGTCCTCCTATTGGTGGATTTTTAGATGAACAATGTAGCATCACTCGTACTGAGATCTTTAATCCAAATTTCCTGACCCTGTGAAAGCTCTGTTAGTTAGCCTTCATTGGTTGATGCGTACCTGGCAGAGACGATGTCATGATCTAGAAGGTGGTTCACCCAAGACTACGCTCTGCTACTGCCCTGAAGCCGTGCTGACCCCTGCGAATTCCCTAAATGTGTAAGGAATCCTGCGTAGTTTCTGATCTGCGTTTGTGCTCTCTCCTGAAAATGTCTGCAGTTTCCCCTTGGGTTTAATAAAGTTTCTATCAACGCGTCAGCGGCACTAAAATTAGCCGCAGATCTCAAAATCTCTTCGCTACCCAAGAATTATTTGCAGCAGAATCTGGCTGATGGTGTAATTCTGCCTGGGGTCAGAATCGCTCCAGATCCAGAGTCTATCCTGGGAACGTGGGGAGTAAGGTGGGAATACACCAGTCCATCCACACGTTCCCACACTCCTTGAAAATTTTGCAAAGGGTAATGGAGGAAACTAAAGGTCAACTGATGGATTTCACTGATTAAGTACAGCTGCATCTCAAAAATTTGAATATCGTGAAGTTAATTTTTTTTTTCCTGTAATTTAATTCAAAAAGTGGAACATTCATATATTCTAGATTCATTACACATAAAGTGGAACAGTTCACGTAATTTTGTTTTAATGGCGATGCTTACGGCTCGTGGAAATCAAAACACCCCGTATCTCAAAATATTCAAATAAAGTATTTCTAATACAGAAATGTCGACCTGAGAAGATCTCTAATCAGCTGATTTACTCGAAACACCTGTGAAGGTTTCCTCAGGCTTTAATCTCTCAGTCTGGTTCAGTACACGACCACAATCACGGGGAAGATGGAAGTACATGTTGCGTTTCATTTGGAAATCAAGGTCCCAGAGTCTGGAGGAAGAGTGGAGAGAAGCTCTGAGGACAAGGTCCCAGAGTCTGGAGGAAGAGCGCAGAGAAGCTCTGAGGACAAGGTCCCAGAGTCTGGAGGAAGAGCGGAGAGAAGCTCTGAGGACACACCACAGGTGAGTTGGAGTTGATAGAATATACGGAGATGAGTCAAATGAAAACGTATAACTGCGAGATGAATCGGAGTTGAATTTTCTTCGAGGAGACTCGTTATACGCTGGAACGCTTGCGTTTAAAGAAATAAAAACCGTGTCGAAACATGACCCCAATTTGCAATGAACACTGCAAAAAAGCGTTTTCTTTGATACACTGTGTATTCACTTCATACAATAAAATGAATTAAATATGTAATGAGCCTGGTGACAACTAGATGGAGGCGTTTCACCAATTTCTGATGACATGCATTAGTGTTTGTGTGGGAGGGTTCTGTCATGTTTATCAACACATCAGCCGGTGCACTAGTCTCCTCCGAGAAGCTTGATGACCATCCGTGCCACGTTCTACCCACTACCTGGGTGTAGTGTCGACGCTCCACGAAAACAAATGATTAAAAACCTTGTAATTGTTGCTGTGGTGAATTTTTCTGTAAGGAGATGTTTAACATGTATGGAAGGAGTCTCCAGTGTCAGCGCTTTGTAACAGTCAACGGTGAAGCTGTCGTTTTTCCGACAGTCTTCACGACACGGTTTCTCATTAACACGGCATGCTGTTTGTGTGTGTCTGTGTCTGTGTGTGTGTCTGTGTGTGTGTGTGTGTGTGTGTTTAACTTCAAAAGAAATAAAAACAGAGCGGTTGGTGAGGGAATGACTGTTTATAGCTAAAACGTTAGTAATAACAGGAACTGACTTGTTTTGCAGATGTTCCACAACATTAAATGTAACTATAAATGGATAAAAGGTATGACTCTAACACACCTGAAATACTGAACTGAGTTTTCAGGAGCACAGCTGTGTGCCTCTCAGGCAAGCAAATAGGCCATAACGAGCTCTTGTGTTACAGGACGTACAGTAAACATACATTAATGCTGATCCCTGACTCGGATAAAATGCCCTCATGCCTCCATTTGGGGTTACCCGGACTGGGCTTGACTCGCTAATACTACCTTTGAACAGACGTGGACTTGTTGCTCAATGTTACGTCATGGTGTGCGTCTTAAATGGGTCACGTAGTGAAAGCAAGAACGATCTTAAATATCATCGCTCACATAGATATACACTTAGTTTAAATCATCATCGTCGCTTTTGAAGATAGAGGTCACAAAGCAGAGTTACAGAAATCAGGATGTAGAGAGGGACCACAGCTTAGCTGATATTATTTGGGTGGTGGAGCATTCTGAGCACAGCATTGATTAATAATCAGGGTACTGGTGGCTCAACGGTTAAAGCTCGTGGTTACTGATCAGAAGGTCGGGGGTTCAAGCCCCAGCACTGCCAAGCTGCCACTGTTTGGCCCTTGAGCAAAGCCCTTAACCCTCTCTGCTCCAGGGATGCCGTATCATGACTGACCCTGCGCTCTGACCCCATATGTGACAAATAAAGGCTTCTTCTTCTGTTAGGACCATTATCTGATGCCTGTAAATAATGTTAACTCGAATGCAGTGACCTGGTCAGGGTTGGAGAACCACTGCGCGCAAGGTGGAAGATTTTTTACCCCGGATCAGATGCCAGGGTATTTCAGTGCACCACACACATGCACTTATTCACACCTAGAGGCAATTTTACATAGCTAATCCACCTACGTCAGAGTTCAGAAACCTGACAACCCTAAGGAAACCCATGCAGACACTGGGAAAACTGGCAAATCTCCACAAAGGTTCCGTGGGTTTCCTCCAGGTACTCCGGTTTCCTCCCCCAGCAGGCTGACTGGCATTTCCAAATCGTCCGTCGTGTGTGAATATCTGTACGATTGTGCCCCGTGATGGGTTGGAACCCTGTCTAGGGTGTCCCCTGCCTTGTGCCCCGAGTTCCCTGAGATCAGCTCCAGGTTCCCTGAGACCCTGTGTAGGATAATCGCTACACATAGATGGGTCTACGACCAAAAAACATTTGAGAACCTTTGTGCTAGAGGACGATTAATGCAGGAGTAAATAAAGAGTACACAGCCTACTGTGTGTAACAAGGTGGTAGCTGTGTGTGTGTGTGTGTGTGTGTGTGTGTAACGAAGCGGTCAGTCACAATAAAGTGCTTCAAAGCTCTAACACCTCTGTCACTGCTAAACCTGATACACTCATGCCATATCAGCACCACACACAGCATCTTCTTAATGGTCATCCATCCATCCATCCATCTTCTACACCGCTTATCCTTTTCAGGGTCGTGGGAGAACCTGGAGCCTATCCCAGGGAACTCGGGGCACAAGGCGGGGTACACCCTGGACAGGGTGCCAGTCCATCACAGGGCACAATCACACACACACACACACACACACTCACACTGCGATCTTCTCAATAATGATCTATTTAAGTTTTCATATGGGCTACATTGTGAATTTGATGTATATCTATCTATCTATCTGATTCCTGTATGAGGTTTCTGGCAATTGTAGTATCTTTTTTACATTGTTGTTGTTGTTGTTGAAAAACTAGTGATGTGAAAGGTGGTCCAATAAAACGACTAACCAACCACGTGACTCAGTAATTGGGATTAAAGTGGCCGGATTAAGGGTGAAGGATGGGGAACAAATAAGAAACGTGGCAAAAACAACCGCGAGTCTATTAATAGGAGAAAACAAACGTATTTTTCACCGAAGAACCGACCTCAATCTCTCTCAATGCTCTTTCATGTCATTTGTGCTTGCCGTAGCTCTAAATTTGTGCAAACTACCCGGAAAATGTCAGCGGTTCTTATTTTTATCTCAGGTTTTCTTTACGCCGAAACTGTTTTGGGAACTCGAGAGTCGGGGAATTTCCCCAGTTGCTAATTCTTTCACCCATTCACACGCGCGGCTCATTCACTGAACTTCAAAGTCGAGAGAGAGAGAGGGGAGAGAGAGAGAGAGAGAGAGAGAGAGAGAGAAAGAGAGTCTGCTTAAACCGGTAGTGTGGGCGGGGTTTCCTGGCAGTTCTACTCTCGATGACGTACATGTTAAATATATTGTCCATTTTTGGATTCTAACGTTGACGTAAGCACGTTGTGTACGTACACTTCAGAGCGCGCGTGAAGTATATATGTAGCTACTATAAGTATATATATGGAAATATAATACACACACACACACACACACACACACTAGTTGGTATGCACTGTTACAAACAACACACTAGATGCATGTTTTTTTTTTTTAAGTCTTTTACTTAAATACAAAAAAACAACAACAAAACACCTTTACAGTAACAATGTGTCCGGAATAAAGCGGACGTAAACAGTGAAAATAATTTATCGGGATGTATTCATAGGATATCACTCGCACAAAGATCACTTGTCCTGACAGTCCTTTCATTTTTCTTTCGTGTGCATTTCATCTGGTACCATAAGAGCAACATGTTTATAAAGGAACTGCTTTAAAAATAAAATAAAATAAACCCCCAACAAAACACACACACACACACACACACACACACACACACACACACACACACACACACACATGGCAACACATTAAAAAGTTTTCTACAAGAAACATACGCTCGAATTCATTCAGTGCTGCAATGCAATAATGTCGAGAAATCTTCCAGTGTTTCCACTTTGCATTAAAAAAAAAAAAAAAAAGTGTCCGTGAGTTCGTGTATGTCTCAGTACGACTTGATCTTCGGCGTCACCATCAGCTGGCACCCGCTGCTCACGTGCGTCATGACCTTCTGCTTGAGCTGCGCTACCTGCTCGCGCAGCAGGGACGCGGTGTTGGACAGCCCGGCGTTGTCGGTCTTCAGCACCTTCACCTTGTCCTCCAGCCGCGAGATGCGCTCCAGCTTCCGCCGCCGGCACTTGGTGGCGGCGAGCCGGTTGCGCAGGCGCTTGCGCTCGGCTTTGATGCGCTCCTGCTCCTCCAGGTCGACCGGCGACGTCGGCGGCGAGCCGTCCGCGCAGGCGCCGTGCACGTCGGGGACGATCTGCGGCTCCTCTTTGAGCGCCGAGAGCCTCGGAGCGGGCAGCGCGTGCTGGAAAGGATGGTGAGGGTGGTGATGGTTGTGGTGATGCTGCTGCTGCTGCTGCTGCTGCTGGTGGTGTTGGTGATGGTGGTACTGATGATGTTGAGGCAGGTAGCTGATGGTTGCGCTGGGATAGGTGCCCGGCGCTGCGGACTGCTGGACGCTCGTGTTGGGGCTGCAGCTGTCCAGCGTGACGTACACGCGCTCCTCGGACGGCGGCATTCCTCCTGCGCCGATGGACACGTTCGGCGGCGCCACATGGTTCATCTTGTGCAGCTCGTCCAGGGCTTTGACAAATCCGTCCGCGAAGCCTTCCTGCTCCTCTGTGATCGAGCGACTGTACCGGTGGTACTGACCCGGGGTTGGGCTCGTGATCACGCCTCCGCCGCTCTGCGCGATGAGACGCTCCAGCTCCGGAGACGCAAGTTTCAGCGAGCCGGGGTCTGCGCTCCCGGCCGTGTAGAAATCGCCCTTGAAGTTGCGGTAAGGCTCGACAAAGCTGGCGCTCATGCTCTGCTTTAGAAGCTTGTAGTCGCGCAGGGTCACGGCGTCTGAAGTGCCATAAGCAGAGAGAAACGAGTCGTCATGATAAAACGGTTGCTCCATTTTGGTTGATATGTGACACATTTAGAGAGCAGGACTTAATATCTTTCTCTCTCTCTCTCTCTCCCTCTCTCTCTCTCTCTTTTTTGTTGTTGTTTTGTTTAATATATAAAGCTATGAGAGTACAGTCTATAGCGCACAGTGTGCGTTCCGTAAATATTAACAAAAAGCCCAGAGAAGTTAAAAAATAAACTATAAAAACTTCCAGGAGGAAAAAACAAAACGTTTTGTTTACTGTACCAAGTCTCCAGACGCCTTTCCGTTTTTTTTTCCCCCTTTATGATGTCCAAAACCTCTCTCCTTCCGAAACGCTTATTTTCAGCGCGCGCGCACGCACGCACGCACACATATACACACACACACGCGCACACACACACACACACACACCGCGCTGTCTACGCGCGCACTTTCCGTCCACAGCACGCGTTATCTAAACTTTCAGCGCGTCGCCTCGCCTCGTTTTATACTCGCGTGCTCGAGACGCGCGCCGCCTATTGGCCGAAACAGGCCACGCCCCTCCTGGATGACGTTGTTGCCAGGAACTACCGAGAGATGAAAACAAGGCTGGAGGCGCTCTCTCGCGTAGTCTCGTTTCCATAGACGCAACTCGACCGCCTGTTAAAGAAAGAAAAACAAAACAAAAAAACAAAACAAAAACAAAACAACAACAAAACTGAACCAAATAAGCCCTTTTTTTTTTTTTTTAGCAAAGTTTCCCTCCACGGGTGGGATAGAAGGGAGAAAAAGAAAAGCACTAACGATAACACCAGCTGACTGGCTGAGAAGGTTCTACATTTATCTGAGGTGGCTTGTTGGCCATAGACAGAAGTTAAACTGGGATTTAAGAGGTGAGGAAGCCTCACTTCTTCTTTTATAGGTGGCAACAACAGCAGCGTTTACGTGTTTGTGTGTTGCTATAGAGTTTCTAAGATTGGTGTCAGAAGGGAAATACACCATGTGAGATATGCTTATTTGTGTCCTTATCGGTTTCAGGAAGGTCATCAGTCCGGCATTGGAATGCTAGCAAAACATCTCCTTTAATTCCAATCCCCAGTACTACCAAGCTGCCACTGTTGGGCCCTTGAGCAAGGCGCTTAACCCTCTCTGCTCCAGGGGGCGCCGTATCACGGCTGACCCTGCGCTCTGACCCCAACTTCCTGACAGGCTGGGGTATGCGAAGAAGAGAATTTCACTGTGCTCTACTGTATATGTGACCAGTAAAGACTCAACAAGACTGAAAAATCGTTCATTCATCTCGAATAAGCACTTTTATCCTTATCAGGGTCACGGTAAGATCCGGAGCCTATCCTGGGAACGTGAGGCGGGAATGCATCCTGGACGAGGTCCATCACAGTGCACCACACACACACACACACACACACACCTACCTAGGCCCACATTCGACTTGCCAATCATCCTACAAGCATATTTTTGCGAGGAGAACCTGGAGAACCATACGAGACAGACACATGGAGAACATACGAAACTCCACACACACACACCAACCTGAGCTCAGGATGGAGCCAGGAACCGTGGAGCTGTGTGGCTGGCAACGCTACCCACCACACCACCGTACCGCCCACTAAGATGAAGCTTTCCAACAAGCTTTTCCACTTCCTGTTTATATAATCTTACACTCGTAAACGACGTAGAACCCCGTCTCTCTTTTGGTACTCTACATCAGAATGGGTAAAACCCTTTGTGTAAGCTGAGAACCCTTAATTATCCTGCAAACCTTTAAAG